ATAAGAAACTTTACCTGGCAAGATTTTCTTGGTGGAATCGTTCATAGTCGGGATATTTTGGTACTGTAAAAACTGAATCTAAATCAAAACTGATATTTGGTACATATAAGTTCTAATTTAAAAGTGTAGGAATTTCCATTCATTGTTTTGAGAGCATTCTCGGGAACCCAGGGGTTATCTTCTGTCGTTCGTTCCTCACTCCCAGAAAAAATACGGCCCTGGGCACGAAGTCTGTTAGACCCTCTCGATTTGTTTTTTGATTTTTTCTGGGAGTGGGGAACGATTGACAGAAGATTACCCCTGGGTTCCCGAGGATGTTTTGAGAGCATCAATCCACGAGGTGTGGAAATTAACGTAAAAATCAAAGTAAATGATTAGTTAGACCGACATTTTGGTCTCTACCAGTCGAGGTTAATTTCAGTCCGGGTATTCTCTGATGGGAGGTCGTAGTTTCAATTCACTGCTGATGCATAAAAAAGGGCAAGCAAAACAATCGTTTTTCCTCATCTGAGGTTGCCGAGAACTTAGAATCCAATTAATTGAAATAACAACAGCAACTCTTCGATTGAAAGCTGTGTTTATGCTTTTTCTGTTATTTTTTCTCTTTTTTTGCACGCGTTTCAACCAGTCAATGCGCGTATTATATGTCCTACCCACAAGGAAAGAAAGTAAAGATTTGGTAAAGTGCAGTTGTCGAGTCTCTAGTGTATTGCTGGTTTTCAGATTATGTCACAGCAGCGGCCATCTTGGAGGTACTTCAACATAGGATTTCTCATTAGTATCTATATTGTTCATTCCTCCAACATGGCCGACGTTCTTTTGTTGTTTGATTCGCATAGAAATGTTTGAAAAACAGCAATTACTTTTGGATTTCATGAATTCTTCTGATTCAGTGATAGCTACTCAAGGGCTGATCCAGAGAGGGGCAAAGGGGGGCTATAGATCCTCCTTATACCCCCTCCTTTGAGCGTAAAGTTAAAATGTTTTTATTATAATTATTATTTTCAATGTTGTTTATAATAAAGCCCATTTAGCCCCCCTTAAAACCATTTAGTCCCGGCTTAAAATTTTAGCTGGATCCGCCCTTGCCTTTATCACATGAGAGGTAACCCAAGCTAAGCATTTGACTAGCTGATTTCAGCGATATCTATAATGCATGTAAAAATGAACTTTTTGAAAGAAAAAAATTAGTAAAAAACTTTTGTCTTACCTTTTGATGTGGTTTTTACSAATTGAGGCGTAAAATTGAGGTTAAAATGTTCTCGTCAAACCGAGGGTGTTGCGCAGAGTGGCGGTGGAGTTGGTGGCTATATGGCTTGCGGTCACCGAAAGTGACCGAAAATCGATCTAAATCATTCTCAATCTCCGTTGAATGTTTTTCTTTGACATTGAAATTTACACAGGAGTTGGAAAAACGGTTGGTGGTGGCTATGGCGGTTTTTTGGTTCAATTTGGACGAAAAAGATGCAATTTTTGATGAAGAAGTGATCTGATGACTGGACTTTTTCGAACCGGTCTGTCCTGCCTTTCAGTGATATAAGTAAAGAGGGGGAGACATCAAAGAAAAACGGCAAATTACGCCTCCATTCGTAAATAAAACCACATCAGGYAAAAGGCAAGACAAACGTTTTTTACTAATTTTTTCTTCAAAAAGTTTATATTCACCATCCTCGGGAACCCAGGGGTAATCTTCTGTCGAAAAATACTGGGAGTGAGGAACGAACGACAGAAAATTACCCCTGGGTTCCCGAGGATGTATATTCACATGCATTATAGSTATCGCTATTAAAATCAGCCAGTCAAATGCTTAGCTTGGGTTGCCTGTGGCTTTTATAAGACTGTTTATTGTTACTGTTTATTTTGATTATATTTCACGGTACAAGTGCGTTGACTCTATTCTGGTTGTTTCACCAAGATTCTTCCAAAGGACGTTAACCATTTGCTGGAGTCTGTTCACGATCTCGAGTCGTTCTTGARGGCTTTTAACATTAGCAATATAACAACCATTGTTGACCGCCCTGYCATTACGGCGTCTGGTCGTCCAGCACTTGATAGTAGCTCAGGGGGAAAATATCCCAAGGTAGAGCCGGTGTGGCATCTTGACGATGCGACGTGCAAGCCATACCCAACGATTGTAAAAGTCCCCTATCCTGATCAAGATAAAGGATTTATTCGTAATCCATACTACGTCGAATTGCATCGATGTGCTGGTTCTTGTGGTGGACAACAATTGTACAAAACATGCGAACCTACAGGTAAAAGTCGCACAAAACTCCATTTTTTAACTATTAGACGGCGAACTTCAGCTATGTAGAGCCAAATTCAAGTTTCCATTGTACAACGTGCGTAAGTCATTGCTTTGAGCTCATTTGCAATTGCATTTGCAATCGTAGCGAAACTTTTCCTGCACTAGATAAAAATGGTAGCTTTGTGTTTGAAAACTTTTTATCTTGAAGAAAAAAACTATAATTAGGTCCACTAAGAATTAAGTTCGGTGTTTCGGGTTGTTTTTTTTTTTTCGTTGTTTTAGTATTTCTTAGCCATATCTTTCTTTGTTTCAATTTGGAAGAAAAGGAAACTGCAAGGGGRGGGGGGGGGGGGGGGGGGGGGGCTAATAAGTCGCTCAGCTAACCAGTGTAGGCAGGATTTTTAACAGACTGTGATCTTTGTTTTCACAGAAAGGCAAAATATTACTGTCTTGGCATTTGTCATGAGATGGTCTTTATCGGGCCAATCCGTGAAACCTTTCCCGCGTTACATCAATATGAAGAACCATACTAAATGCGCCTGCAATTGTGTAGCAAATCCATCATCGTGTAATCCTGCGATACAGCGATTTTCACAGGAAAATTGCAGATGCGAGTGCAAGTCGCTAACCAAAAAGTGCCCCAAGAATAAGATGTGGCATCCCATTGATTGCAAATGTGTTTGAAATGCTCCATCAAATGTTCATTGTCGGGAAGGACATGAATGGAATCAACAGAAATGTTCGTGTGTAAGCATTCAAAATGGAAATTACAGGAAAGAACCCTCACTCAATTGAGATGAGTCTATTTAACCAATTTATTTATCTTACGATATTCTAGAATTCAGTAGATATATTGACCCCTGGGATAAGACAATTGGTCTACATAGCCCAGTTATTATGGTTAGGTCAAGACCAGGTGGGAACGTATACCCAACGCCCAATTCTACGCTGTTTTCGTTGTTTTCCCTGGAAAATTTAAATGTYAACAGAAGTCTCTATAAATCATATTGTAGTCTTTCTTATTCATCGACAACGATTAAAGTGAAAACAGCGATAGAAATAAAAAGAATCCCATCTGTCGTTCTTGTCAGTTTTTTCGCTATAACCAAAAGTTAAAATGCGGGGCTTACGACTTTGACTGAAGTCTGCTGTCGCCTTTAAATGCCCAGTGTGCACCATGCTTTTGGGGTCGCGAGGCGGGCATTTTCAGTTTACCGAAGAAAGTCTAAAATTTGTGCGTGTGTTTCGAATCTTTGACCATCTCACTTTTCTAAGCACTTAACGCTAATAACGCTAATATAAGAGTTTTCAACCATCTGAAGTTCGTTTTATGGTGAAACTTGGATACTAGTATCTTTTGGTGTAAATCATAACAATAACAGAGGCGCGCAAAGCATAATGGTGCAAACTGGGCCTTTAAAATTCTAGTAGCTTTAAGTCTGTTTGTAATGTAATTATCTTAAGAAGTTTAGCGAGTAAAATTCACTTGACGTTAATAAGTTGCAATTTTGTATTCATTTGTGTATTGTACTTTGTGTTTCGTCTCATAGTAATCATTTTCCGACATTGAAGTGGAGACTGTGAACGAGTGTGAAAATTGTCCACTTAATGAAAGTTGTACCTTACTACGTAAAAGACCATACAACAATTACGTTATTTTCAAGTGCAGCGCAATACTACTAAGTATTGCTCATATATTTTTGAGATATGTTAACATTCAAGAGAGAATGTAGGGTTTTGGGACTTTGTCCTAAACTGAGCGCTATGCATTTTCATTGCTATAGTATAGCTATAAAGTATCGGCGAAGTTTTTAGTTAGTTACATCCAGGTCGAGGTCAATGATTTTCGCGCACTGATTTTGTTGTTTTTGGATATATAAGCGAACACYGACAGAGCTATATCCGTCGACTCCAGTGACAGGACTGCTTGTACTGCTAAATCTTTCCTTTGTACGCTAAACTTCAAAGAATTTCAGTCATGTAGCAGCTCACTCGTTTCAGGTTCACATCCATACTMTCTTTTCAGCAGGGCGGTAACTTTCATACAGACCGCGTTCTCAATGAAAACATTCTGTAGACAATGGCGCATGAAATACAGCTTCTTGTACAATGCAAGAACCACAACAGAAATTACCAAATTCAAGGAGTTTATTTCACTTAGGAAGTGGCCATTAAAAAAGCAAAGGGGGGCAAAACGTAACTTCCAACTTCGTATACGTTTTTGAACAATATCTCTCGTATTTTGCAAGTTGTTTCCTTAGTGCTTGCCTGGATTTTTCAATTGCTTGTTCGATAGTTTGTCCCTAATGTTCTGTTAAATTTGTACGGATAAAAAAGACATTAATACTTTGTTTACACATAAATAGTTTATAAAAATGAATGTACACGCTTTAAGAAACTTTCTTGTCGCTGTTTTGGTTTAAAAAAGAGTATAAAAAGTGTAAAAGACATATAAAAATACACCAAGTGACTTCAWGATGCGGAATCGTTTTTTTGCTTGAATAAGTCTGCAAGAGAAAAAAATTGCTTAAGACACTGAATGGGCACGTGTTCTCTTTTGCTTGCGTGCCGATAGGAAAACGTAATTTTTGCGTGCTGAAAAGCTGTGTAATGTTAAGACTTGCTACATAAGTCGCTCTATTTTTCGGGACGGAACGACGTAGGTACCGCTAAAGCTAAGAATTGAATTAAATAGAGGGCCTTATACCATACCAGACCTGGACTTCACAATTTTGGTGAACCAATGGGGCACTAGAATTTGGTTACAGTACGATTAMGGTCACAGTACAGTACCGTCCGTTTCCCACTCATACGAAATCCGCTCTATATTTAACCACTTATCCATCCCTTCACATTTTTTTAAACCTTACCCATAACATCAGGTTCACGGTTCACAGAGAAAGCAGAAACCTGTTCACAAATGTAACCTTACCTTTTCAAGGCATGTATGAATTTGACCCAGTCAAGTAGTAAGTTGTTCCACCCTGTTGAAGGGGAGCCTGTGAAAATAAATATATGAATATTGACTCTTTTTATTTATGCGGAGGCAGATCAACAGTTACAACAAGCCGTGAATTAAAAAAAACAATTTCTTTCAGAGGAACACTGGTCAACACTGCTTTGACTGCTATGATCTATGGACATTGTCATAAAAATCATTACCATGTAACCCGGGTAACCATAAGTGTACGTGGTTTGTGGGTAATACACCTGCAAAAAAAATTGCTTATTAGTATTATAGGCGTTTGCAATTGCTGCTCCAAGAGAGTTTTGGGCAAAGATACCTCTGGGTCTCTCTACCCCAAACTCTCTCGGAGTGGCTAGGATTGCCTGTCTATGCAGGATAGTTAGCATCATCACTCTTGTTGCCAGTACTCGTACTGATTGAAGTTTCTACAGTAATATGATAGATCTGGTGCATTCAGTTGGTAAAGGGTAGGGACACGAGGTGCACTTCACACCTCCTGAGATCGAGTATACTTAAATTCTTCCCCAACCTTCTCCTACCTTCCCATTTTTACAGAATGGATGACCCCTAATTTGACCTTAACCCCCCCTCTGATGCACCATTGCATCCAAACTTGGATTAACTTAGTTAACTTGATGTTATTATTGTTAGTCATTGTCGTTATCATAATCAGTGTCATCATATCATTCATCATCATCATCAAATATTATATTATATATGTGCTCCTTTATGACTGTCTAAAGTCTATCCAAAGAATTCTCCATTTCTTGAGGTCAACATGCCTGTGTATATCATGCAACTATCGTTTTTAGGATACACACTGAAGGGTTTTACTTGAAAAAAAAAATAAAACGTGATTCAAGGAGGAGAAATCATGTTTTTTGATGATGAAATCGACCCTGGTACAATATGAAGAATTGTACTGGTCTCGGAGGGCTTGATCAAACCATCTTTACCCGCATATTTCTTTAGTTTGTTATAAATAATTATCATTTTTATTAATCAATACCGTGTAGTATTCCTTGTGATGATTATTCGTGGGTACCAGAACCCACTGAACCGGATAGCCTGCAACAGATGAGACCTTTAAATCGGTGAAAAACTACAGGATCCGTCAATCAAAATACAAGATAATTATGTACTAAACAAACATTAAAGTGCACTAGAAAACAAACAGATTATATTGAAAGGTATTTAAAAGGACCTACCGCTAGTTGTAGGCGTACCATTATTACCGGCCGCGGCGTTCGACGCAAACTGTCCGTGTCCCTATAAAGCGTACATACCAGACAATATATTGCATGAAATCAACAACGAGACGTGAGCAAAACSCACCTTTCTGCGGAATGCCTGATGAAGGCGAAGGTCCTTTCCCTTCATTGAAAAGGAGCTCTGAAAATACAATCAAAATTGGCTTGAAGCGAGCTGTCTTTGAGCGCGCGATGATGAAACGGAATCGTGTTACCTTATCGAGCTTAAGTAGGTTATCCCGAGTTTCGGGAGTTTCGAAAGTAACGAACCCAAATCTAAAAACAAACGATGTTTTAATCCCAGWACATWGAAACTTACTTGGTAGGCTGTCAATATACGCTTGCTTTAAAAACGATTACATTGCGCATTAGACTGCACTCAACCGCGGTTCGTTCTCATGATTGTCAAACGCGTCTAGATTAGGTGAAAGATAACAAATGGTCTRATACAACTACAACAAATGCTGCTGTCAAGCTATCCTTACCCTTTGCTCTCACCGGTGCGCTTATCGCACACGATTCGTACATCAGTGATCGAGCCATATTCGGCAAAGAAATTTTCCAACTCAAGTTCTGAAATCTGGCAATTAAATATAAAATTTGTTTACAATTTACATGTAATAGTAGTAATAATTCGATAAGCACTGTTGCGTTTTCGTTGCGTTTTCGTGTTATTATTCGTTTTAGACTTTTAGGAAATGAAACGTCAGTACGTTGTTTCACCTACTTTTTTACGGTGTTAAATATATCTTTTTAATACACAACTGTTTCTTTAGAAACACACACTAGTTTACCGCTAGTTTCAACCATTTTGATAAGCACAATCTTGTTAACGGATAATACCTCTCAATTAACATCAGGATTTAGTAGTGTGTATAATACATAGAGAGAAACACTATCTCTTTAATACTAAAAGCATTTCAAGAGCGTAAATGAAATTATCATATTTAATTCCGAGGTGTCGATAATGAAGTGGCAAACAATTAGCTTGCCTTTTGATCTRAAAAGAGCTTAGTCTATCATAAACCGTTTATACAAATGATCGATAATTACAATGACTTAAATGATCGAGTAGAATTTAAAGACATGATACATACGGCTTTGTGTAATCCCCCAATGAACAGTCTAGAGGGGTGATAGATGCGAGTCTGAAAAGAAAACATTAATTGAATTAAATAAAGTACACGCATTTGGAGTTCGCTTTCTCTAGGATGCCTTCCAAGGATTTTGCTAAGGTGCGTCATAGAAATCTAACATAACTCGTTTGCCGACCAGGTGTATCATCAAACGAGTCTTGTTGGGTGGCCAAACGCCATCAAACAAAAAACCCAACAATACTAGTATCAAAAGCTGAGATTGTCGAGGTATAAGTCGAACTTTTTGGATCGCCAACGCTGCGTCATCAATGATGACAATGCTTGGTTTTTGAAAATTGACTAACAATTCTCTTTGACCTGGGCATGAATCTCCGGCACGTCGTAGAATGATTCACGCTCCAAAAATACGTTATACTAATGTAAGCTTTTTCATGACCTACATCAATGTGTCTGAATGTTAGTTGGACCCAGAGTGGTAAACATAGCCGGCTAAAACCATGCGCAACTCGAATCACAACTTTGCGTTAAATTAGACTTTGYAGTACACTTGAATGTTGAACACAAATAAACACTGCGGTCTCTTATTTATTGGGATTTCCCCGATTTATAGGGATAAGAGCAAGATTACAGATCAACAATCAAACATGCAAATGATCGCATTGTACAAATGATAGGTCGATAATGAGCTCAATTTATTTCAATCAATCTGCGCTCTTTGTAAATTTCGACAAACCAGCATTTTGTGATGCATTTCAATAAYTYATAGAARCCAGTCCYTACTGAATGCTGCTTGAAGCGATTGAATGATGCACGCATCGACCGAACCAACTACTAATTGAACGTATTTGTACGATCTTGCCCAATTAAATTGTATCTTTTTGACGCTGGAATGCGAAATAGAGCAAGTGCTTTTGCTTGCTAATGTGTACTAGAAAACACAGGACAATTAGAGAATTTCCTATTTTGCGCGCAATTTGGACATGACGATCGAACGTTCCATCGTGGGGGAAGACACAAATCAAAACAAAAAATATTCACGTACTAATGAAAACATCAATGACATGGTCAGTGAAATAATAAATTACCTCGGTGGTACTAGGACTACTAGCTGCAGCTTCCATAGTAAAAATTCAAATTGATTAGGGAAAGCTTGTAGCTCCARCGAAGTYGTACRCACAGAACGGCGCTAAAACTGGAAGCACATGTATCGAGGTCGTAAGATAAGCCAGACATAACTGTCGCATTCCWAAAAAATACCTTAATTTTATTGGTTGGTTTRATATCATGCAGTCTTGCTTTTGGRCCAGGCCTGTCTGACTTGAGATCGTGTGTGGTGGGTATAGTACACGATGTTCTCGCGAGTTTCTACAGAGCTACAAAACAAAAAGTTCATCCACCATCATYACGACCCTGATAATATAAACGGYGGAAACTGAAGACTTTATAACCAGTTTATGGGAAGGYTGGAGAGGAGTGTCGGTTCGGTCACATAACCTTATGGTGGCGAGGTGTCAATACTGTGACGAGAGTGGGGAAAAAACAAAATTAGGTAGAAAACAAAAAGGCAAAAAATTAACAAATTTAACAACAAAACACCTTAATTCTACAAGACAAGTCGTCGTTTTTTTTTAAATTTTTAAAACTCATTTAAAAAAGGCGGGAAAATTAAAAAAAGGGGTGAAATTTGAATATTTCCAAATTGGTGGAAATCTTGTCGTGGTTCTGCTTACATGTATTTTATTTTCCAAATTTATGTCCAAGGGTCTTTTCGGCCGGAATAACCCGTCCTTTCTCAGCTCTTTTCTTTTCACTACTCCATATATTTCCTAGTTCAGCTACGCGGTGTGGTCTATGTAATCATGGCAGAACATATGCCAAAAGGTTTGATGTCARTCTTATATTGTTTCGGACAAATCAAAGCGGATGAATAAGACAATCACAAGGTACGTAAGACTATCATTAATACTTCATAAGTCTGGCTCGCACAAGTTAAACTACTGACACTACTTATTGTGCAACATTTGAGCGTTGTGACCACCTGGCAATTTCTTCGTGGTCTTTTAGATTGACGTGTTTCATTGCGGTTATAAACTCTCGTCTTGTCATTCCCTTTCCAAAGAAATTATTGAGAATAACTTACTACAAGCTGTCAATTGCAACCACACCTGCGCGACTTTATAGCTTAAACGTTTTAGACCATTGCTATGGGTCGCTATGGTCATTGCATTTGACGCAAAAATATAACACTAATACCCTTGGGAAGTGACCTCCACAGCTGCATTTTGAGAAATGTTCTACTACTGAGAAAAGAGCAAACCGCCTCGTTAGATCAATTCCAATAAACAAAATCAAAAGGAGTTTCTGCAGGGTTCTCTTCATACATTATTGGTAGTTAAATTCATTTTCATGACGAGTTATATTTGATGAACAGGTCATGATCAAAACTGACTTCAAGCGAAGTAACTTTTCTGTAAAGACTGAAATGACTTTAATTTATTATGAACATTCAAGGAATAGGACGATTTACAACCAACAATGTTAATCCATAAGGCCAAAACTCCTAAACAAGGGTTAGGATTTTCGCCGATAAATGGGCTTTGGAATGATGAAAAAGGTTAAAGTATTTCAACACTAGTCGCCTTTTTTTAGAAGCCGTTTTTTTAGAAAAAGGAATCCAGAATCAAAAGCAGCAACCAACATCAAATGAGACAAATACCCACGATCGCTTTTAATMCTAAAAGGGACCTCAAAACACAGCTAATGGCCATTCGTCTTTTGTATATGGCGACCCCGACCCTCTTTCACAAAGACGGTCTCCAGCTGCGCACAGCAGGGCAATAAATGTAGCTCCATCTCTCAGACAGTTGGAGTTTGCTCWAGTTGCACCTACCTTGCATAAATGACCCACAGCTAAAGTTAAGTCAGATTAATTATGACAAACAACTTCCACTTGTCCTCGCAAAAATTCATCTTGGGAAGCAACGGCCCGCAGCGTATACAATGACACTCCGACAAATCATTTTGTTGACATTGTTATAGCTATGTTTTTCGCTGTTATCTACTTGCTATATACTTGAATCTTATAACATTTTCAATGGCGTACAGTCCATAGTTCCTTACCGAAAACAGTAGAATCGCTATTATGGTAACAGTGTGCAGTGAATCCGCCTTTCAAGTAAATATATTTMATGCTTTTTAAGCTTTTCAATTGAATTGCACTCTATTTAAATTCTAAAGTATAATATTTACACTAGATTTCAAAGCACTAAGCAGTATTCAACGCCAGGGTTTCTAAATCAGTTTCAGAGAAAAAATTACAGCGTCTTTGTTACTTCTCGAGAACATAATTTTCGGCCTAATCCAAACCGATGGCATGAACAAGTGTTCTCCTTAGCCTTACAAAAWTACGGGCACCATATAATCTTTGCAGACTGGACAATTCATAAATGATAGCCAGAGTCGACGATGTAGGGCTACGGTGTATTACGAGTTGATTCCCATCTTTGATAGGGTGTGTCTCTCYACAGCATTCAGAGATTGCGAGAAGGACTGGTAACAAGGCTGCTGTACAAACGTCTTCATGTATTCGATAAGATGGGCCTAAAAACAAAGGCGAACAGAGGAGCAATTTCAAACTATTTCTCAACACTGATATGCAACCGACTTACAGGGCCGGGATTCACATATATGGTTTGCTCAGTGGATCCTTGGAAGAGCGCCATGAGACTGAATGACAGTCCGATCATGTTGGAAAGATGATGATGATGATGATGATAATGATGAGAATCTATCTAGAAGACTATCATAGAGAACTATCATACTATGTAAAAAGGATAGAAATCTACATTGATGAGAATCACAAGATCTCAGTACTATACTAAATCAGAAGTATGGAATCTAGATTTATAGACGTATGCAGGATCTACACTCGAACATTTACAG